ACTGTGGAAGCTCAGTAGTAGTGGGGCTGAGGCTACGTGGAGATTGAGTATGCTGCGAACTAGTCGGATTTGCTGATGATGACGTCGGAGGCTGAGTCGACATCGACTCTATAGTAAGCGATGGCGACGGCGATTCTTGTGCTTCTCCTCTTATGGACGTTGCTGGCAGAGTAGAGGCTACGTCACTGCTGTGCATGGATGTATCTGTTACTGCTACGTCAGATGTGGAGGTACCCTGATAAGGCCGTGATGGACGAGAAGTCGGCGAGAACCTTGTCCTCCCACGACGACGCGATGATTCGACAAGTGACGTATTGAGAGGTGAAGGTGAGTTTGCACCTCTGGGCGGTCTGCGGCGAGTCATCGAGATGTTGTTATAGTCGCTGTCTTTTGCGAGAGTGGGGGCGGCCTGCATTTGAGTCCGGGTGTGCTTCTTCGGGAGAGTTGGAATGGTTTCAAAACTGCCATGAATGACGATCGCTGCTATTACTGCGTGACCTAGTTAAATTGGTCACGTGACCTACGTTTAGCAAGTGTGACCTATTCATCACATATGGGTGTGACCAAGTGTCAAATTTGACCTGTTTTATGGGCTTCGGCAATAACAGGACGAAACTGTAGTCCTGTTGAACAGACGGGATCAGCACGAAACATAAATACGTGTGACCTCAAACTTGCATGTTACCATCACGAACGACCGGTACAAATATCACATTGGTTGTGCTCTAGTTAGCATTGCATTTTCGTTGTGTCAGAAAACTTGTCCGGTAACTGTCCCATGTACAGCCCATTTCCTATCGCAAACCTAGGTCATTTTGCCGACCCTTCTTTCTGGAGCGAATTTAAACACGACCGGCAAGTCTGCATTTTCTCCAACCCATTATCGTCTTAAATACCACTCGAAGCAAGGAAAAGGCTACTTAATAAAGTCGATAAATGGGAATCACTACAGTAGGTGAGTAGCTCAGCTGGAAGATCTGCAGGGCCTTTTAATCGTGTATGCATAGCTTCCACCAACACTTTACCTTTTTATATTGCCTGCATGGACATTTCGTGGCCATCGCAAACACAGCAAACGCACTCTTCCATATAGCTACTCGATAACGTCTCAGCACAGTGGTCATACGCACTGTCCATTACATCACTTGGTACCTTGTCCACGGACCACGGGTCGTGCACAACGCTTCTGGCTTCAGTCATGCCAGCACGATAGGCTCCGGTGCTATGTGTGACAACATAGTCAGCAACCATTCTTGCGTCCCGGCTCATTTTTCTAATCTTTCGGCGGTGAGTAGACTTAACTCCTAGTACTGAGGCTCGCCTCTTCTCCCCAACTCGCCGACGTTTTGCTGCTGCAGTTTTGATTCAAGCATCACATCGCACCGAAAGCGGGCCTCGTCCGATCGAACCGTGCGAAAGCTACAAACACCGCCAAACCATCTTTTCAGGTGTGCTTTTGATCTCACTAACTGTCGCACATCCGTACAACTAAAATTGTATTTCTCCGAGAGATTAATGGTTGGAAATACATGTGCGTTGCATTTGATGTACTGCTTTGTGATGCGGCTATGCAATTTAATTGAAAGTGCTTGCACTTTAGCTAGTCAGAATAGAGATAAACTAGAAATTACCTGGTTTAATGCTCATTGCCGACTACGCCAAAATATATTAAGACAAGCTGACGCTGATCAATTCAGCACACGGTGCTCAGATGCAACAGGAATACCTGAATGAACCCACCAAGCTAAGAATATAACATATAAACGCTGATGTCGATTATCCAAATAATATATAAATTGTCGGCTTGAGCCTTAATTGTACACGTATCTTCACAGTACTTAGTACAGCAATGCGACTAACACATGTGATATTCCTCGCGGAACTGTAGTAGCTTTGTAGGATCGTTAACGAGTAGTGTCTCGTAAGCTAAATATTTGTGTAAGAGCGCCTGTTACGCTTACCTACAATTTAGCACAATCGGCAGGGTAATAGCAGTAGTTAGACGAGCTATTTCCGAGAGTAAATGTCACCGTCTACACCGTCATTGGTCAAAATTCTCATATGTTATAAGAGATCTTACCCACGCTATTTTCTTTCAAGAGGTAGTTTGGAATCCAAGAGACGAACGGTTGACGCTGATAATTCAAATGAAGCGCCCAGGGGGCCGTCCGTCGTGGCGGAGACGGGTGACACGCAGGAAAGCACCCTCTATGAGACGTCTGCGAAGAAGCAGAAGAAGGTAACTGCACCAAAGATCGTGCGAGGCACTACAAGATCGGGCAAGAAGGACTCGATTTTCTGGGATTTCGACGGTGTGGACGGAGGGAAGGACTGGATGACAAACTCATCCAACTAAAACAAATGGCGCGGTAGTGACCACAACAACGACAAGACAAAAGAGGCATTGTTGAAGCAAAAAGTGCAGCAGCTACTGTCGGTAGGAATTCAACATGGATACAGCGCCGGCGTGCGCAAACAGATCAACGCGCTCCAGAAACAGTTTCACGACTCCGCTGATATTTTAGCCGGCACGGGGGCAGACATAACCAATGAAAAGGACCTTCGATTAGCTGTCCTGAAACGCTGTCCCTACTACTTCGACCTAAAAGACGTAATGATCGATCGGCCATCAGTCCGTCCAAAGATTACGTCAGATGATCTTGACCCTGTGGATTATGGAGACATCTTCAGAAGCTGGTTACATTCTTTAAGAAGACTCAACACGCACACTCGCTGCTGAACAATGCACAGAATAGACATAAACTAATTACAGGATTCAGAACTGCTAAAGCTCTTGGGAATCCAGCAGTTACAACGCCGCTGCCGCTGAACTTGAAACATGGCGATTGAAAGAAAAAACGAAATTCTAAAGCTAAAAGGGAAAAGAAAGAACCTTTTTGAGAAATATGTGCTTCTTTGTGTGAAATTTTGTAACTTTGTGTCGGTTGGGAAAAAAAATGTGGCGCATCTTTACAAAATGGGGGTC